AGTTGGACATTTATATCAGGTTTGGCGCAAGGCCAGCAGCATGAACCGTCGTCAAACCACGACGCCGGTACAACTTCAGCTTCCACCGCGTCAAAGAAGTCGACGACCGCAAATGACATCGACAAATAAACATGGTGGTCAAACAATTTTACGAGTCACTGATGCAATGCTTTACTTATTAGTCTATATCTGCGTATAGTGATTATTCCCTGATTAAAACCACATTCTTCTATACTTTCATGGAGGAGGTCACTCCTAACGCTCGCTAATGGAAAGTGGGCAAGGTTCTGTTTGGCGTTGCATAAGTCAGTTGCGAGACTTAGGGGTGGTTGTTGCCAGACTGCTGTCAAATTCAGCGAAAAAGTTTGCCCCTGTAGTTGAGGCTTTGCCGTGAGGGTTTAGTGTCATCCGCGGTGCATTTCGCAAGTGCGTGAGCTATGTTGGCCATTTTAATTAACAAAATGAATGTAAAACGAGCGTTCCAGAAGTCGGGGCACATTTTCTTGCTGAGTGCGCTACAGCGCAATTAATAGATCATGTCGGAGAGTTGGGGAATCAACGACGCGTCGCCCGCTGTGCATTTCGCGAGTGCTATGAAATTGTTCGCGAGTGTGTTTTATCAACGCAGTGAATTGGAGTGAATTAAGCGCGACTCGCGCGTACTTGTAAATAAGACCCCGCACAAGCATTCATTATTTGAAATTTCGGTCGTTTGTGCTTATTGTGGGTGGGGTACTGTAAGCGACGGCAGCTCGTCGTTGGGTCCTATTTACAGCAGACAACACACCAAGAAAATGGGTCCCAACGTCTGCAAGGCGCGGTTCATTCCTTAATTAAAACGGCCAGCATCGCTCACGCACTTGCAAAATGCACCGCAGACGACACCAAAGCCTCACGGAGAAGCCACAACTACAGAGGCAAATTTCTCTGCAAAATCTGGTGGCAGTCTGGCAACACTGACCCTCCAAGTCTGGCAACAACTTATGCAACGCCAAACAGAACCTTGTCGGAAAGTCTACAGGGAAAACCGGCCTGCGATACAACCAAATTGGTTTTTTGATTATTTGACAAAAGCGGTTTTTTTTTTTCACTTATGATTACCCAGATCAAAGGGCGAGGCCATGAGCTTATCATGATCAAATAAAGGAACGATAAAAGCATGAGGGCCCTTTGTAGACATGCGCTGGGATGAATCACGAACACATAACAGCCACAATGTGATACTGCGTGCCTTATGCTGGATTCGACTTTTTTCGGGTGAAAATTTCGAAAATGAAAAGAGAAGAGTACCAACCTTTTACAGCTTCATCAGCAGGATAGACCCAACGATGATATTTAAGCACGCCGCGCACAATGTAGTACCTCACGTTGCGCAACCCACCAGTGGACAACGTTGATGAGAGCTTGTCTTGGCTGCGTTCAGCTTGCAGCGAGCCAATGGCGAGTCGTCATGGCAGCTCAAAAAAAAAAAAAGTTGTTTACACGTGGTTTGCATGAAAATCTTCACACTTTTAACAGTGCTCTCACAGCATATTTCGTGTTATAAAATCATTTACGTTTTTGTAAGTTTGTTATTTAATTTAAAATGCACTGTGTAGCAATTTGTATGATTTCACCATTAGCCAAGGAAGCGTGTTGGGCAAATGTGGCTAGAGCGGGCTAGAGGCCTAGATAATGCAATAAATAACATGGCTGACGTGCGGGTGGCATGGCTAGCATGACCATGAAGTTGTGAGCACGGTAATGTGACGTAATCCCCCGTAATTGTTTGAAAGAAGGCGTGGGATTTACTGTGGTATTTATCGAGCCCCGAATGAGCCATCACATCCTGTGAGTGGCCCAAGCGCGTTCAGCTCAGTGCAGCAGAATTGTGTTTCTGATTTTCTACTCGAGATAACAGCGATTTTGTGTAGGCTGCGCTTTACGAGTGACTTCCCACAACGATCAAGTTTTGCAACTTATTCTGCTTGTGGTGTAACATGTAAAAATTGTTGTTGAAATCAATCTCTTCTTAAAATTATTTTTGGGGATACATACATATAATCACAATGTTCATTACAGCTGCTTATCTGAAATTTGATTGCACAACTTGCATACAATTCTACAATGTTGCAGTGGCTGAAGTGTGGGTGAATACAAAAGCATGCATGCACACGCAAACTAGTCTGTGTACAATTCAGGTTATTTTCACAAAAATGTAATCTATTGAAAAAAAAGCATCTGATTGCTTTATGTACATAAACAGAAAAAGCTACACATTACTGTTATCTTTATACATAAAATAGCTCTGGCGTCTTGATTCTAGTAATTGTTGGGGTTTAACATCCCAAAACGATGCCGTAGTGAAGGGCTCCGGAAATTTGGACCATCTGCGGTCCTTTAAATTGCATCTAAATTGAAGTCCACGAGCCTAATGCATTTTCGTCTCGATGAAAAATGCAGCCTCCGCGGCCGGGATTCGCTTCTGCGACCATCGAATTGAACTCGTTGAGGCATATATGTTAGTAAAACCTTGTTCACGAATATTTTATGAATATCCACTTTTAATATATAAATAGAAGTGTCCACTCAATATCCACTGAATATTCACAAATAACATTGGATATTCAGACCATTTGTGGACATCCTCTAAATATTGATGGTTTGCTGGGTTTCTAGCTTTTCACAACATCCCCAAAATGATTATTCATGCCCTTGAACGCAACTTGCTTTTCCTTCAAAATGTGAAGTTACCAGTGCTGAGATGCTTTGAAATAGAAAATATTTATGCTTTAAAGTGCTCCAAATAAACATTCTGCAGCTCAAAAGGGCTCTTTTGGCACCGCTTGGCACCGCTCCAAAACTTGCAGCGAGAGGAGCGGTGCAATTGGAGGGACAGCGCTAGACACGCAATTCAAGGAACTGCTTCGCATCTTATAAGGCTCTCTAGAAGTGTTATAATGCCCTTTAGAAAGTTCAGCCATAATTCATCATAATCAGCTATAGCACAAAAAACGCACCTAATGCCCTATAGATGTCTAGCGGGCACCACAACCTTCCGCGGAATGACAAATGATTGCATTGTAGATACTTCCCACCTGAATATTCCGGTGAATTATGAAAGAGTGAGTGCCTTCGATGTCTACTTGTATAAGATGTCTCTAGTGCGATCGTAGTGGACACATAATGGCGTTCTTCCAGCTTCAGCTGTGACTGTGCGGCGTGTTGCACGCAGGCCTAGAGATTAGCCTTGCCTTTTTCGTGCGCCACAAATTCACGATGCACGTGAACGTTTTTTTGACATGTTGCCTTTGGGGCTGTTTTTGTGTTGCAGCCACTTGCCGTGAATTCAATTTATTGTAGCGAAACATCTGGTTTCTTTAAGCTAGACACGTCTGAAGACCATTGAGACGAAGATGTTTGGGAGCAATCTCGCACAGGAAAGCGATGTCAAGTCGACCCGAAGATTTTGGGAAGCACTCATAGGGGGTTTATTGGTCTAATACAATGTTAATTTACACTATGCGCTAAGTCACAAATAAAAAAACACGGAAAATGATGGCACACCCGTCGGCTTGCACGACTGGTCTCCAATGGTGAGATGAGCTGTTGACTTCGAGTCCGCTCCACCCAAAAAAGCCTGAGTCGCTTTTTAAATAGGTTTTCCGGCATCCAAGGGTGTGCGGACCATGCGGAAGACCACTGTTTTTTGCACCAATTGGAAAACGGCTTATACGGAATAATCAGGCAAGGCGAGCATAACCAATGCCAAAACGAGTTTTCATGATCGCGTGTATCCTGCTTCGTAACAAAACTAGAAGCTTGTGGAAACGGGCACATTCTCTAAAACAGCCCTGACACGCAAAGAAGAGCTCAAATTTCGGTCCCCGAATGCCCCGGAGGGCCTAAGTGGTGGCTCGCTCGTTTGGGGGCGCGAGGTGCAGAGTGACCGACCGGATGCAGCTTTCATTCTTCCTCAGAGCTCCCTCTTCGAGAAAAGTCATAAAATAGCGCTTCTAACAAGAGCATTTGACAAAGAAAAAACTCCACCAGCAGTTGAAAAAGAAGAAAAGCTTTCTGTGGGACATTGCCTTCGAGACAATATATATGTCGTTGAGACCGATACATGCGATATTTTTATCATGAAATTATTGTCGTCAAGCTACTTGTAATGGTATTTCACATAACAAGCATTTCGGGATGCAATGGCACCATCATATAGAAGTCACTCTTGCAGCTGCTGACCGGTCTCTCGGGTTACTGAAACGAAATCTTAAACAGGCTCCATCGCAGTTAAAAAAACTTGCTTTTACCAGTTTAATTGGTCCTAAAATAGAATATGCCAGTGCCATTTGGGAACCTCATCAAGCCTACATCGTATCAAATATTGAATCTTTGCAAAACCGAGCTGCTCGTTTCATTTACTCAGATTATTCTACCTATTTCAGCGTAACTAACTTAAAAAACCGTGCTGAGCTAGAGGATTTGGCCATTCGTCAGAAATATGCACGCCTATCACTTTTCCACAAACTTTACAATCACCCATCATTACATGACAGTTTCTTTGAACCCGCCTGTTCCATCTTTCCCCGCCGTGATCATCCTAACAAAGTCAAACGCCCGCTATTTCGCACACTTCGTTTCGCTCAGTCATTCATCCCGCGCACTATTATTGAGTGGAACAGTTTGCCTGCACATATTGCCACCGAGAAAGACTCGGTAAAGTTTTCAGAGCTCATGCGCACTACGGTGACTAACTAAATATTTTTTGCTTTTGTTGTTTTGTTTTCTTTCGTTTTTTAACTATTGTATAACGCTATGCAATTGCTGCCCGTATTCATGGTTTGCGCTTTGTTGCGGTTGTCAGGTTGCTCTGTATCTTGCTGTACTGCTTTGTTTTCTGTTTTGTTTTTGTTTTTCTTCAAACCATGTTGTATTGCCCCCCCCCCCCCCCCCCCCCCCCCCATGTAATACCCTCTTCTAGAGGGCCTTTAGGGGTAACCTGAATCAATCAATTTCAGGTTCAGCGATCAGGGGCGTCTCTGCTGGGCAGACTCGCTAGGACGGATGCATATGTTGGTGCTCGGGAATGTCTGGGAGGTGATCTGTGATTTGGCGGTGAGTATTGGTCGGATGTTGGTGGGTTACGCCTCCTAGTCCTAACATGTCGCAGTCTAGTGTTTATCTGTCACTCTTAGGAAACGACCGCCTAAAACAGTGCATATAGGGTGGAAAATAGGTCAACTTTCCAACGCCTGTAAATGGCTCGTTAGGCGGCTCATTTATACAGCTTTCTTGTGCGGCCGCTAGTTACGTGACTCTTCTGTTATGTGGCCTATGTTTATGCGGCTCTTTCATAAGCAAGTTCATCTCGTTGCCAGAAGGCCGATGAAAAGTGATCGCTTAAAGTAACGCGTAGCATTGACCTAGTTAAGCGGTATTTCAGGTTAACTCTGGGACGCTTACATGCGGCGCAGTATGTGGTAAAAATATCTGCGGTAGTTTATAACCATTTTCCTTGTATCTTGTTTTGTTCTTTCACCTCATGAATATACATAACACATCATAAGAACAGTGTGCAGAATAGCCATAAACCACATATCAACCAAACACCCATGTACTTTTAACCTTGGGAATTTGAACCCAGGCCTACCGCGTGACAAGCGGACATTGTATCCACTACACTACTTCGCTACACAGTCTGTGAGACCTAAATTGCCCTAATGTGTGAACTTGACGTTACTTTGGGTGACTTCATTATCTTATGTAGCATAATGCTAAAAATTTGCATACGTGCACGACCTTAGACAAATCTTAGCGGGCAGTCACAGTCAGTTTTCTAGTCCGACGGTTTGCGCATCCCGCACGGGGATGGAGGCTAATCAGAAACGACGCGTTTCCGAGTGCATTTTCATTTCTGCCGGCATTATACAGCAGCCAAGCTTGGTCTGCTTTGCAACCAGTTGCAACAGAAAAGCTTTATGCCATGTTTGAGGAAGGCAGGACGAGGAAAAGTCAGCTGGTCGGTATCACTATCTCATCACCTGACAAAGTACGCTCGTAGTACAGTCTGCCGCGTCCTTCGCGAGCATCATGTTGATTGCGCAGCAATACTGTCCGTAGATGGGCCAGCTTTCAGATCGCGCACGCTCATTTTTCTCTGAGCGACAAGGATAGGCAAAAGAAACGTTGTTGCCCCACTGCGGTGGTCTAGTGGCTAAGATACTTGGCTGCGGCAGCTGCATTTCCGATGGAGGTGGAAATGCTGTTGGCCCCTGTGCTCAGATTTGGGAGCACGGTAAAGAACCTTAAATGGTCGAAATTTTCGTTCATTTAACGATGGCGTTTTCGGCAAACGATGGCGTTTTCGAGACCGATACTAGAAAAAACGACGCCATCAAGGCTGACTGGAAGTGACGTAAACGGCAGAAAAAATTGTCTGCTCCGCTCTCCTCGTGCACACACATCGAGGATGCGCCTCTTAGTGTTTGTGTGTTTTTAGGGATGAAGCTTTTTATAGCAACACTCGTTCGTCCCTTGCAGTCGTTGTATTTTGTAACAAGTATAACGTTTTGACCTCCAAGGTGGTGCTGGTGAAAGATTTCTTCTGTGCGTAGTTGAATAATAAAAGATAGTGCTCAATGTACATGCCAATGATTGCTAAGGGGGAATGAGAGACAGGAGCATTCAGCTTTTAGTTAACGCGCATGCTGCGATCCCCATTAGCAGCCATTGGCATGTACATTGAGCACTAACTGACAAGAATGGATTGCCACGTTATACTCGCAGGGTGTAACCTCCTTAGTTTTAGACAGGTTTAGCGAGCGTTGAGCCGCAGTGCCATGAATACAATAAACTAGTATATATCATGAACTCGAGGTGGTTAAAGATGGGAAGTAGATACGAAGCACAAGCCGTAAGAAAGTAAAAGCTGAATTCCCCTGTCTCTCATTTCCCATTAGCAGCCATAGGCATGTGCATTGAGCACTATCTGACAGGAAAAGGTTGCTACGTTATACTCGCTGTGCGTAACCTCCTTGGTTTTAGAACGGTTTAGAGAGCGTTGAACCGTATGCCATGAATACAGTGAACTAGTATATACCATGAACTCGAGGTGGTTAGAGGTGGAAAGTAGAGTCGAAGCGCAAGCCGTAAGAAAGTGTGCGTGTGCCACTTCTCGTTTAGTCCTTGGAATGTCTGCTGGATGGCGGTGCTTCTATATAAGGAATATATGATGAAAAGATGCGAGATGGTGGTACTTGGAGTGTTGAATAGATGAACGAACGGACACACAGACAGATGCATGGATAGACACATTAACGGACGCAGGGGCAGATGCATGGACGAACGCAGAGACGGATGCACGAACAGATGTACGCTTGGACGGGCAGATGGACACATGTGCGGTCACACAGATGGACGCATTGACGGACGGAAGCAAGAGCGAATGGATGGACGAATGCTTCGCCCCACGCTCCATGATTCACTCCGTGGATATGCTGCCATTTTTTTCTATGTTAACTTAAGAGTGCTGCATGAACATGCCTCTTATGAAACGCTGGTCCGGGCTTCCCACTGGTTGGTTTGAAGAGTCTGACCCCCGTATTCAGAAACGCTGCTTGACTTGAACTTGGCTTGCCATCAACTTCAATGCAGCACGAACGCATTTTGAACGTGCTGTCTCTCGTTGGTGCCAAGGGAGCACAAACGCACTGACGTGTTTCAAACGCGCTGCATCGAAAACGGTGTCAACGCAGGAAAGAGCGATTCAGCGGCAGGGAGGATTGCTCACAAGGAGCGACGTGGCAACGCTCTGTAGTAGTCGTCATATCCGGTTCTGTCGGATTTGCCCGAGTACACCACTAGATCTCCTCCTCGTCTGCTTGGTGGCAATTAGAGCATCAATAAAAAATAAATATGCAACTACAAAATTTTTCACTCTGGTTGCCGTATCTTATCGTATATGTTCTAGGTATTTATGGCCATTTCCGCCCAACCAAAATTTCATTGCAGTTGGCCTTTAACTGGCGCGCGGAAACAGTGCCAAGCGGTGCATCAAAAAAAGCTAGCAATGCTTGAAATCGAATGAATTCATGATGCGCTCCTGACTGCAGGAATAAAATCAAGGCTGCTCTTTGAAATTCAAAAGAACCCTAGCATAAGCGGGCCCAGGGTTCGTCTTCATAGCTAGGGTAAAGGAGCGTAGATTTATAACGCCCCCTCCTTCTTATGTCAATGTATGGCCATGGTTCACTTTGCTTCTTGGTGATGTTTTACAGCCATACCACATCCCAAATTTGGCAACACTTTCAATCACTAAATTCTTCAATTTACCATAAAGAATGGGGGAATGGTCTCATCATGACGCGCTGACGCAGCGAGAAGCAGGCGACACGCCGCCCGTGTGTCACTACTGTTTTCTAGTGAAGACGCGTTGCCTTCCACATATGACCTTCAGTCGATCAGTACAGCTGCTGTTTTTAAAAAGTCGATAGTCTTTCTTGGGGTACATCGACGCAAAAATTTTGGTATTTGTGTCTGTCTGTACTTTTGTCTGTTTGTCTACCGTAACCATACTTCCAATGGCATCAAACGATACCTGAAAGCGGCAACTGCATCCGCAGCGCCCACCAATATTGCTCAAGCTTCAGTGTTCCTACTTGTGTGATTGTCAATTAAAAGCAATTTTTGTGCATATTTCAGACACCATAACAACGCGTCAATATTTTGTATGTGAGAACGCATACATAACTAATCGTAAAGACTGTAGCATTTCTCACGCTGCGCTGACAATGCAACGCTATGCTCAAAAAGCAAGTGTTTCCAACACCTTGCTAAGACGATACGGTAGTGGCGCCTTCCTGTTGCTTTGCGTTCTACACTTTATCCCTTCTGAAACAAGCGTGCACGCCTGCCTTCGTTGTCGAAGGTAACTGCCAGATACCGCTGGTGTCTAACTTGCCTCAATGCGCTCGTTCGCTTTTGCTGCACAGATCGAGACTATCTAAGGCAGCGCCTTCAGACTAGAATTCACCAATTTTCTTGATGAGAAAGAACATCAAATAAATGTTTTGTTCACTCTCTCCAGACGCAAGACTATCGTCTTTCGACGACATTTGTAGCGAAACATGCAGATACGGGGCCAATTTTTTTATTGCAATGGCAATTATAGGGAATCTCGACTGGATTTGGTCGCTAGTGTCGACGTCAACGTCCTTCACCGTATATATATATACTGTGAACGACGACGGACTAACGTGCGAAAATGTTTATTGCCTCCTACGTTTTGGCAGGAGGGCCTGCCTTCGTCAGAGAATTCTCTCAAAAAGGCAGGTCCTCCTGCCGAAACGTAGGATGTATAAAACATTTTCGCACGTTTGTCCGTCGTTTTGCAAAGCATACAAAGCACTAGATCCGCAAAAAATATTCTTTATATATATATATATATATATATATATATATATATATATATATATATATATATTGTCATGACCAAGAAAGACGCTGGTGCTTCGGCGCGCAGGTAGCTAGAGCAAAGAAGAGAAGAACGAAGTCAGAATAAGAACAGCTGGCCCAGCATCGGGTGTTGTCTCTTGTTCTCTGTCTCACTCATTACAATGGCGCAGTCGACGAAGAAGAAGTCTTACGTCCCAGCTTCGTCATCCAGGACAGCCGAGATAAGCGCCGCTTGAGGATGGCGTCAAGGCCTCCTCGGCAGCTATTCACCTGCCGCCACTGCCCCCACCATTCGGCGATGGCGGCTGTAGTACACGTTACCAGTACCATTTCACAAGGGACGTCGTCCACGCGTCTTTGGCTATGGATTCTGCCGTCAGCGCATGCCGACAAGTGAACCATCTGCGGGAAGCCATTGGTACGTGTCTTCGTGGTTCATTGGCAGTGCGGGCTTCTCTATCCAGGAACGCCGTTCACGCTTCTTTGGCGATGGAGTCAACAACCCGGCCGCCGTTTCAGCTGCCCATCGGACCATCAGTGGACGGTGTCCATGCCTCCTCTGTGGTACCAGGGCATCACCCAATGGACACTATGCTACCACTTCGCAGCCGTAATACGCACGGGCTTATGTCCTTTGGGAATGCTGTTCAAGCTTCCCACGG